AGAGAGAGAGAGAGAGAGAGAGAGAGAGAGAGAGAAAGAAAGAAAGAAAGAAAGAAAGAAAGAAAGAAAGAAAGAAAGAAAGAAAGAAAGAAAGAAAGAAAGAAAGAAAGAAAGAAAGAAAGAGAAAGATCGACTTGGTGGAGGGTTGTAAAGAAAAAGAAGGAGGGATTGGCTTGGGGAGAGGCTGCCAGGGGGGGGAGGGGGGGGGGGAGGGCTTGGAAAAGGGATTCGGGGCCGTCCTGAGGAACGGGGTTGGCCTCTGCGGGAGACCGACCGGGCGCTGGACTCGACGGACCGCTGGCCTGATCCGGCAGGGCTCTTCTGCTGGTGAACAGCTTCGGGCGGGAGAACTGGGGCTGCGTGTCTTTCTCGGATGGGATGTCCCTGCGCGTGTGAATCAGCCCTAAATCCGCAGCGAGTGTCTTCCCGCTCCCCCACCCCCACCGCCAAGGTCGCCAGGCCAGGAGTGCCAGGCAGGCTCAAACCCCATCACCTGTTTGCTACATTCGATTCTCACTCATCCGCTGGGGAGCTGAGGACAGTAAGCATGCTCCACTCCCTTTGAGTCTCACGACACCCCTGCAAGGTAGACTCAGCTGCGTCAGAGTGTGAGGGGTGGAAGGCCGGATGGGGTAGGAAAAAGGCCTTCCTAGCAGGTCTGCCGTAATCCTAGAAACACCCAGCCATTTTTATCATATCCTGTCTCCATGGTTGTCTAAAACTAAGGGGTCAGGCCTACCTGAAACCAGGGCTCTTTGGTTCCCTGATGCCAGATGTGTTGGGCGGCTGGTCTGGTGGTGGGAAAAGTACCTTCAAGTCACTGCCGACCTATGGTGACCCCGTAGGGTTTTCAAGGCAAGAGACATTCAGAGGTGGTTTGCCCTTGCCTGCCTCTGCATAGCAACCCTGGACTTCCTTAGAGGTCTCCCATCCAAGTACTAACCAGGGTTGCCAGTCTGAGTAGACAATACTGATATCGATGGACCGATGGCCTGATTCAGTATAAGGCAGCTTCATGCGTTCGAGTGACTGGCTGCTTAGAAAAGAGCAAGAGTCCAGTAGCACCTTTAACAAAATTTGTGGCAGGGAGTAGCTTTCGTATATCACGCCTAATCCAATCACGACTGCTGTTGCCATTCACCTGCTATTGCCATTTGCCCTCTGTTGTCATTTGGCATCTGAAATCACGCCTCTCTCCAAGATACAAGGACGATGGATTCCCATTCCAGCTAGATCAAGATGGGTAGCCATGTTAGTCTGTCTGTAGCAGGAGAAAAGACCAAGAGTCCAGGAGCACCTTAAAGACTAACAAATTTGTGGCAGGGTGTGAGCTTTTGTGAGTCACTGCTCACTTCTGAATAATTATGTTAAGACTTTAAGGGGCTACTCAGGACTCTTACGTTCTAGCTGTATCTGAAGAAGTGACCACTGACTCACGAAAGCTCCTACCCTGCCACAAATTTTGTTAGTCTCTTTAAGATGCTGCTGGACTCTTACTATTTTCTATTGGTACACCTTCACAGCTACCCATCTTTGTTGCTTAGCATCTGAGATGACATATATTAACTATAGACTAATAAAGTAATCTAGCCTATGCTGTAAGGAAAATCAATATTAGTGTGACAGACAGAATATCCCGCTGGTGAGAATTGGATTTGCATCCTTGTCCAGCTATAAAACAACCCTGAATGTCGCTATTTCTGGGCCTAACACGCCTCACAGGGTTGTTGTGAGATTAACTGCAGCTCTAAGCAGACTGATAACTCTTCTGCTGAAGCTGATGGGCTTGGATGGGTGCAGCTTTTGCTTAGGATACCAGCTGGGTCAATTCCATATATGCTCCATTACACCCTTCGGAGGAAGGATGAGATAGCAATGTAATCCATTGGATGAGTCAGCCTCTCCAAAGTTAGGAGCAAAAGACTTGCCATTAAACAACTTAAAGTGAAAACCTACACCCTTCTTAAGTCCATTGAAGTCAATGGGCTCAGACTGTTCTGGTTTGTGCCGTCAGAAGGGTTCCCATGGGCAAGAGATTCCGAAGTAGATTTGCATGCTTGCCTTCATCTCTCTCTATCATTTCTGTTGCAAAAATGCCTGAGATCACCTCTGTCTGGCTCCTGCAGTGTCGGAAGCTGCTTTAGCCCCCCTCCCTCCCTGCAAGAAATAATTCCCTAAGCATAAATAATCACCCAGGGCCAATACTCCTGGTTAAGGTATGGAGCCTTGTGAGCAACAATTCTACTTTGTGAGCTACTGGCATGAAAGTTGTGAGCGAGCGATTTGGTTACTGCCAGTTGGGTGTAGTGGTTAAGTGTGCAGACTCTAATCTGGGAGAACCGGGTTTGATTCCCCCACTCCTCTACTTGCAGCTGCTGAATGACCTTGGGCAAGCCATAGTTCTGTCAGAGCTGTCCTTGAAAGAGCAGTTTCTCTCAGAGCTCTCTGAGCCCCACCTACCTCACAGGGTGTCTATTGTGCGGAGGGGAAGGGAAAGGAGTTTGTAAGCCGCTCTGAGACTCCGAGTGAAGGGTGGGGTATAAATCCAATCTCTTCTTCTTCTTCTAAATTAGTTTGCTCTGGAGCCCTCCTTCCTGAGCTAAGACAAAAATGTGTGAGCCAGAGGCTAAAAAAACTGCGAGCTAGCTCACACTAACTCAGCTTAGAGGGAACATTGCCCAGGGCACCCCACTTGTCCTCCACATCACCTGGTTGCAAACTACAATGGACAGAAAACATGCGCTCCTGTAGCCACAGCCCCCAGCGATCCTGCATCTGGCCCGGAAGAGCTGCCGTCCTCAGATCACCATTGATCCTCAGGGTGGCCTGGGAGGCGTTAATGAGATTCGGGGTGCTTTATAATTGGCGACACAGATTTGTAAGACCCCGGCTGGCCAGCCCAGAGCAGAGGCTGCTTTTCATAGTGGAGTGGAGGGGAGGAGCAATTAGCGTAAAGCTAAAGGAACCCCCTGCCTGGCCCTGCTGCTGGCCTCAAAGTGGGAAGTCTGTGCAGGGAAAGGGGCCAAGAGGGATGCCGTCGCTGATGTACAGAAAAGAAGAATGAATATGCTGCAGCTTCCCTCTTTCTGTGTAGTAGTTGTTGTTGTTACTATTACATGAAGTTGCCTTATCCTGAATCAGTCCGTTGGTCCATCACAGTCAGAATTGTCTACCCAGACTGGCAGTCCCTTTCCAGGGTCTTCGACAGACGTCTTTCTCATCACCTGATACCTGATCCTTTTAACTGGAGATGCCAGGGACTGAACCTGGGATGTTCTGTTGTTGTTATCTGCCTTTCCGCCCAGCTTAGGGTTCCCAAGGCAGCAAAACCATAAAACTATTGAAATAAGCTTTAAAATACATTTTGGTATATATAAATGAATTAGAACACACAGACAGGTTATGAAGTCCCATTAGCACCGGAGATCCTCTTTCTCAATATATGGAATGGTCTCTCAGTCCCACCCCTTCGACGTGACTTAATATTGAGCCTCGTTGTCACAGCCAGAACGTGCGTAGCATCAAGATGGAAATCACATTTGGCTCCCACGATATACATAACTGCATCTGACAACCAACCACATCCCCCGATATATCTCCAACTAATCTACACTTAATTAACATACGTCCTTTAATTATTGTGAGCGCTGGTTGTGTTGCACTAACAGCACCAATGTTGTTTATTTGATCCTTTAGAAACATAGCATCAAACACAGGAAAGATCTTTAAAGAGTACCCAACTTTATTGAACGTCGTTCACTTCTTATGAGCACAGTTGATACTTTCACAATATTAGGAATGTTGTATTGCTACCCTCCTGTTACTAAATGAGTGGTATATTGAAACATACTCTGATTCTTGTTTGCAAACCTGTGTAAGTTTTCCTGGTAATTCAGTATGTCTGTATTATTTCTGAAATATCAATAAACAGTGATTTAAAAATGAAAGAAGAAAGAAACAGGAAGGAAGGTTACTGGGAATCAGTGAGGGAATGCCAAACAAAACAGAAGACAACTGACAGAGGAAGACAGATGGATTTCCCGGGGAAGGGAATTCCATAGTTTTGGTGCCAGCACTGAAAAGGCCCTTTCTCAGGGTACCAGTCACCTAGTCTCCGATGATGCAGAGACCTAAAGCAGAGCCTCCGAAGATGACCATAGGGCAGGGGTGTGAAACATAAGGCCCGGGGGCCGGAACTGGCCCGTCCAGGGCTCTTATGCGGCCTGCAAACAACTAGTGCAAGGGAGGAAACAGGAGATGGTTCAGGAGGGGAGTGGGCAGAGCCACTCTGGTTGTGCCTTCAGCATCGCAGAACAACCTTGTCTGCAGCAGTCAAGCGGCGTGGGAGCGTCTGCCCAGTGCTGCACCACTGGCTCTGCAGTCTGCCGATGTGGGTTTTCCTCCCCCGCCCCCAGCCCATGGAGCCTTGTAGGGAGGACACACCACCTTGGAGCTTGCCAGCTGCTGTCCTTTATACAGTTTATACCTCCGGTACCTGGCATTACATTTTATGGTCCACGTGGTCCAGCCCGACAAGGTGACACTTATGTCAGATCAGGCCCTTGAAACAAATGAGTTCGACACCTCTGCCATAGAGTTTAGATAGGTTCCTATGAGAGCAGACAACAACAACCACTATTCTTATTATTTCAGGGTGTCCTTTGCAGCAGGGGGTGCCAACCTTTTTGTGGCTGTGAGCAAGGGGGAAATAATTCTGACAGGGGACTTTAATGCCAGAGTAGGCAACAATCATAAAATATTTTT